ATCCTCTGGTGCACCATGCAGGAGTTGCTGCCCTGGCTTGCCCCACAGCCAGTGCAGGAGAGACTCAGGCTTAGGGGAACTGCCACGCAGGCATTAAAAGATCAACATCTGGCCCTCAATTAAGTGCATAAGTGTTAGTAAGTTTAGCTGACAAGGAACAGCAGCCCCCCTCTCTGCACTGCTGACATCAAGGAGGCCACACGGCCCTGAAGTTTATGCAGAATCAATTGCAGGAGTCAAGTGTACTATCTTATATGTTAAGGGGCCACTTCTGAAATGTTTTGGGAGATACTCAATGGGAGTGGAAGGCACTCATCCTATCGCTGAATCCAGTCCTTCATGTCCTAGTACATGAGCCTGACACACACGTGCCGCTCAATTTACAATTTCTCTCGTCAGTTGGATGGGGCATTATTTTGTAAAGTCTCATTCAACTGGGTGAAAGCTTAGAGGTTGCATTATTAAATTGGGTCTGATACCATGGGTACCAATACCTGAATACTAGAGATGGATGTAGAGGACATGCACAGTGTGATTGGAGGGGACAATCCTTTTTCCTAAACTGGAGTGAGGGATCCAATGCAGACCCCAGCCCTACAGCTTTTCAGTATTTCTATGCAACATAAGACTGGACAAAGCAAGGTGAATACTAATATTTAATACCCAACAGAGGAGGTAGAGATGCAATAGCTTACCCTTTGGGAACTGTGTTGAGATAATATACTTAGACTTCTGTAAAAACATTTGACTTAGTACTGTGCAACGCTGACTAAAAAATTTAGCACTACACAAAATCAATGCAGCATATATTAAATGTATTAAAAATGGCTGACAGATCTCAAAAAGTAACTGTAAATGTGGAGTCATCATCCAACTGGGGTGCTTTTAGTGAGATCCCAGTGCTAGCCAACATCTTTATCGATGAATTGGAAGAAAATATAAAACCATTGTTGGCAAATGAGCAGATAACACAAAAGATGGTGGAGAGATTAATAAGGACAGGTCAGATATACAGCGTGATCTAGATCAGTGTTTCTCAACGACAGGTCCATGGACTGGCAATGGTCCCTGAGATATCCCTGATAGAGTTAAGAACAGTGGTCACCAACCAGTCGGTTGCGACCTCTGGTGGTGTAGTGGGCTGCCGCTAAGGCAGGTTCCCTGCCTGCCCTGGCCCCACGCCACTCCCAGAAGTGACCAGCCAGCCCCGTGGGGGGGGGGGGGGGCAGAGGTCTCCGCATGCTTCTCCTGCTTGCAAGCACCACCCCCACAGCTCCCGTTGACCGGGAACGGGGAACTGCAGCCAATGGGAGCTGTGGGGGCGGTGCTTGCAGGCAGGATCAGCACTCGGAGCCATGTACCCCCGCCCCACAGGGGTGCATTGGCCCCTTCCAGGAGTGGTGTGGGGTCAGGGCAGGCAGGGAGCCTGCCTTAGCAGAAGCCCCGCTGCACCAATAACCAGGAGCTGTCGGAGGTAAGTGCTGCCCGGCAGGAGCCCCCCAGCCCTGAGCCCCCTCCTGGAGCCAGCACCCCATATCCCTTCCTGCATCCCAACACTCTGCCCCAGCCCAGAGCCCCCTCCTGCACCCAAACTCCCTCCCAGAGCCAGCACTCCATACCCCCTCCTGTACCCCAACACTCTGCCCCAGTCCAGAGCCCCTGCCTACACCCAAACTCCCTCCCAGAGCCAGCACCCCATACCCCCTCCTGCACCCCAATACTCTGCCCCAGCCTGGAGCCCGCTCCTGCACTAAAACTCCCTCCCAGAGCCCACACCCCCTCCTGCACCCCGACACTCTGCCCCAGCCCCCCGCCTGCACCCAAACTCCCACCCAGAGCTTGCACCCCTCATCAGCTCCTGCACCCAAACCCTCTACCCCACACTCAGCCCCAAGCCCCCTCTCACCCTCCAAACCCTCGGCCCCAGCCCTGAGCCCTCACCCCCCTCCTCAACCTCAACCCCTGCCCCAGCCTGGTGCAAGTGAGTGAGGGTGGGGGAGAGTGCACGACAGAGAGAGAGAGGATGGAGTGAGCAGGGATGGGGCAAGGTAGATCCTGGGTTGCACTTAAATTCTAAAAGTGATCTTGTGCAGAAAAAGATTAGAGACCACTGGTTTAGGAAGACAGCAAGCTGATTCCTAATATCAAAAAGGTTGAGAAACACTGATCTAGATCACTTGGTAAGTTGTACTTCAACAATGTACTTTTTGATACAGTCAAATGCAAGGTCATACTTCTGGAAACAACGAACATATAGCACTCTTACAGGATGGGGACTGTATTTTACAAAGGGGCTTAGGAGTCCTGGTGGATAACCAATGCAACATGAACTTCCAGTGTGATGCAGTGGCTTCAAGAGCAAATACCTAACAGTGAGAGCCTAAAGAAGCTCAATCTATTAAATTGTTTAAAGCAGGGTTCGGCAACCTTTCAGAAGTGGTGTGCCGAGTCTTCATTTATTCACTCTGATTTAAGGTTTTGCGTGCCAGTAATACATTTTAACGTTTTTAGAAGGTCTCTTTCTATAAATCTGTAATATATAATTAACTATTGTTGTATGTAAAGTAAATAAGGTTTTTAAAATGTTTAAGAAGCTTCATTTAAAATTAAATTAAAATGCCGAGCCCCCTGGACCGGTGGCCAGGACCTGGGCAGTGTGAGTGCTACTGAAAATCAGCTGGCATGCTGCCTTCGGCACACGTGCCATAGGTCGCCTACCCCTGGTTTAAAGAAAGGATTCAGAGGTAACTTAAATCTCGCAGAAAAAGGCATAATGAGATCTCGTGGCTGGAGGCTGAAGCTAGATAGACGAGAAATAGGGCACAGTTTCTTTAACAGTGAGGGTAATTAACCATTAGAACAACATGCAGGGATTTGGTGGAATCACCATCACTTGAAGTCTTTACATCAAGAATGGATATCTGTCCAAAAGATATGCTCTAGTTTTACCAGTGGTTATGGGTATGATACAAGAATCACTTAGTGAAGTTTTATGGCCTGTGTTATGCAGGAGGTCACACCAGATCAGGGGTGGCCAACCTGTGGCTCCAGAGCCACATGTGGCTCTTCAGAAGTTAATATGCGGTTCCTTGTATAGGAACTGACTCCGGGGTTGGAGCTATTGGCGCCAACTTTCCAATATGCCAGGGGGATGCTCACTGCTCAACCCCTGGCTCTGCCACAGGCCCTGTCCCCACTCCACCTCTTCCCACCCCCTCCCCTGAGCCTGCCATGCCCTCACACCTCCCTCCTCCCCCCCAGAGCCTCCTGCACTCCACAAAACGGCTGATCGGGAGGTGCAGGGAGGCACTGATTGGCAGGGCTGCCAAAGGGTGGGAGCTGCTGGAGGGCTGCTGATGTATTACTGTGGCTCTTTAGCAATGTACATTGGTAGATTCTGGCTCCTTCTCAGGCTCAGGTTGGCCACCTCTGCACCAGATGATCACAATGGTGGGTGAAATCCTGGTTCAACTGAAGTAAATAGCAAAATGCCCATTGACTTCAATGGAGCCAGGATTTCACCCTATGAGTCTAAGCCAGGCTTGGTGCACTTGCAGCCATTGTGGATAATATATTGATGTTTGAAGTAAATCTACATGCCATGCTCCAGAGATCTAGGGAAAAGGGGTCAAGTGAAATCTGGACAAATGCATCATAAAACCAGCTGAAGTACAGTATATTGATTACTTTGTCTCACGAGTTTATCAAGACCAACAATGCAAAAAAGTGGCATCCATTTCTGAGGATGAGAATCATGCTTACCTGGAAATATATTGGGGATGGCAAATCACCTTGCCAAGTTTCTATCACAATTTGTGGAAAACCTTGGCCCCACTAAGCGTTCTCCTAAAGAAAGATGATTAACCGGAACTATCTTCATCAAAATGAATCAATTAACCTACTAGTGCAAGCATATTGGCATACTATGATATAACTAGAGGGTTAACAGTTCAGGTGTTCAGTGAGGATTTAGGGATGTGCTACTACAAGAAAGGAAACCAATGGTATATATCCCAGGTGCTCACATCCACAGGCAAACAACACAGTTGTGAGCATTTCCATCAATATGTAGAGGAAAGAAAATTGACTATGGAGCTACATTGATTTACATCTGCTGAGGATCTGGCCAAGATCTTATCCAGGGCAGACAGTGGGCAGAGAATATCTAGATCTGTAGATCTATAGATATAGATATATATATCAATTTGTTCAATACACGGGAAGTTAAGTTTAATCCATTTGATTCTGAGTACAATTGATTCCAGACCATAAGGCAGTTTTCTTCACCAGGAAGACTTTATAATCTGTTTTATCACAACACAAGTTTTGTTGCCAGAATCCACAGAGAAATGAAAAGATATGGACAATACTTATGTCACCTATACTGATTGTGTTGTAAGACCATCTGAGAGTTAGGATGTGTGAACTCTTGCTATGAAGTTAGTGTTTTAATTGTTGTGTGTTCCTTTGCAGTTCATCCTTTGCAGTATTGTTGTAGCCATGTTGGTCCCAGGATATTAGAGACAAGGTAAGTAAGGTAATATCTTTAATTGGTCCAACTTCTGTTGGTGAAAGACACAAGCTTTTAAGCTACACAGAGCACTTCTTCAGGTCAGAAGTTTGTCTCTTTCACCAACAGAAATTCGACTAGTAAAAGGTATTACCTCACCCATCTTGTCTCTCTGTTTATTCTTGACATTATTTCAGCAAATTGTGCAGTCTGTAGAAAAAGGTATGTAAGAAGTGTAACACTGTTTGAAATCAAATGGTATTAAAATATTTTCATTAGAGCAAATTGCCATGTTCAGTATATTGTAGGATTGCAATGAGTATTCAGCAAATCTGAATTTTTGTTAATGGTACATTAGTGATATGTTTAGAGGGGGTGTAATATTATCTAATAGTCACAAGATGGCAATAGTACAAATAGTTTTACAAGCTTGATTTTTTAAGGAGTTTTAGCTCTGCAATAGTTCCAGGAAGCTGTTGCATTTCACAATAAAGTTTGTTTTCTATCTGACTCTGCACCTAGAATCATTTAAGTGCAGGTCCACAGCCTGTATTGATACACAAACATAAAACTGCAGTCTTCTCTTTTCCATTTGGACATTTGATTATTTTATTTCTTTATGACTTTGGTTCTCACAATTTCATGATGAAAAGCTTCTTCTTGTCTCTGTTAGTAGGTCTTCTTTTCAGTAAAGACTACGTTAAACCCACAGAAATAGATGGGAAGAAGAAATGGAAAGGTGAAGGTACCACATCTAACCTGGAGAGCATTGTAATTGGAAGATGTTATGAATATATTAGAATTGTGAATCCAAGTGTTGGGTAAGTACTTTTCTCTTTCTGAATCAGTCTCCACACTTTAATGGTTTTACAAATCATGGACCTGATACGACAGTCTTAATCATAGGAATAGTCCTGTTGAAACCAACATATTTGTAGTTGTTGAGAAATCCAAAATTCATCTTTAAGAAATCTAGTAAAAATAAATATATTAAAGGCATCTGGGGTGGGGGGGAAGAGCAATATTGTCAGGAATTCTTCAGGTTTTAGCCAATCTTTTCTTTTATACTTTAGGGACCCTAATGAAAAAAGCTGAAGAGATGGGATAGCTAATTTAACCCTCTTGTGCTTTATGTTGTAATGTATGTGAATTTTTGACAGCCAAAACCTGGCCATATTGACATGTTTCTCATAGTAACTTTAACTGTATTACATTAACCCTAAATTCTAGTTCCAATGAATGATACAATAGACTTGTGGACCCATATGAATAACAATGGTGAAAATGTTGAAACTGGTGAGATGAGACTTAAATAGGATTTTAGCTGAAATTGGTATGACCCAGAATTTCATTAGAACACGTTTTAACAAAGACTAAGATTCTGAGCTCATCCTGCAAAAAATTAGGTATTGACTGGAATGTTTAGATTAAAACAAGGCTTATGCACCTTTCTGACAAAAAACAAGTGTCTTGTTATAAGACACTCATCTGTTCTGAATAATGTAACATTTTGTAGGAAAGGGGGGGGGGGGGGGGAGGGGACGACAAAAATCTAGTTCCAAGGAGATTAGAACAGAAGGCTTCTGGAAATGCCTGGCTGGAATAACATCTAAGAATTTCTACCTTAATATCCAGCTGAGAATTCTTTAAGATACACAAATTCCAGGGTTGTAATTTGAAAGCCTCTGCCGCCTGCTGGAAAAAAGATAGGAGAACTCTTACTGGAGTAATGCAATAAGAAACTTTTGCCTAGGTTGATCTTGTTATTTCTTTAATTGATAATGAATGCTGTTAACTGAATAAAATGAGAAATGCTCCATAATCTAAATTTTGGTTAGTGATGCAGTACATTGTATCAACTATACAACTACATTGTGTTGTGATATGACCTTTTGATTTCATGCTATTTATAGGTATTAATAAAAGTAGAATTTAGCTTACTACATGGGTAGAGACTGCGCCCTCTGTCTTGGGCCTTAATGAATGCTAATACTGTATATTTGGGCTCTTTTTCTGTAGCAATAGTCAGCCTTCTAATAAAACTTTTCAGAAGTTCAAGACTTTGTTTAATTTGAGTTTCAAATGACTAATTTGCCCCTACTGAATCTTCAATCTTCTCTCCTCTTCCTTTTCATATCCACCAAATTATATTTCAAAATTTAGAGTTAACATAGTGCGAGTGAGACTAAGGCACTTTTGAAAATTTTACCCCATATGATTAAAACTAGTCTGGTAAACATTTTTGAACAATATTTTATGAAACTGCACATTGAAATGTTATATTTTATGAACTGCAACTTTAGATAGCATAAGTCTGCCATCTTAGTGTCTTGGATCCCACACACACATAACATATACATATATGTATCCCAAAATGACATTAAAACAATATTAAGGTTGCAAAGTCAAGCACTCAAAAGTTAGGAAATGCCAGAATTAAGGGTGCCCAGCATGGCACAGTAACTCTGTGGCACAGTCAGTATGGAATCTAATTCTCCTGTATGGCATTCAGCTTCCTTAAATAGACCATCCTTTCTCTTCCTGTAATCCCCAGCAGTACACAACTTCCAATTTATGTATCACATGAGACAGGGGTCCTACAGGCAACAGCCTCATTTACTACAAAGCCCTGATTCATCCCCAGAGCATCATCCAGCCTGTGTACTAATAAGGCAGAGGCCTTGTGGAAAAAACAGTAGGTATGAGTTAAAGATTTTATCATAATGCATATGCACAAAGGGGCTGAATTAAGGTTACACAGGCAACCTTTATTCTGACATTTCCTATTTTTTGAGTGCTTGACTTTGTAACCTTAACATTATTTTAATGTAGGGGTTTTTTAAATGTAATTTCCTACATTTAAAAAAAAAACTGAAAAATCAGATATTCCATCCTATAGAGCCATACTGACAGGGCCGTCCCTACCCATACGCAGCTGCGTAGGGCACCAGGAAATTTGGGGCACCAATTTTCCTGGTGCCTTACGCAGCTGCATGCTGCTCCAGCCCCTGCTCCGCCTCTTCCCCATGGCCTCCGGCCCAGCTCCACCCCAGCCCCACCTCTTCCCACCCCTGCTCTGCCCCAGCCCTGCCCCCACTCCACCCCTTTCCCCAAAGCCCCTGCTCCGCCCCATTTTTTTTTCATTCTCACATAACTCATAAATGGATGTATAGATTTTGCTCAAACATTTACACAAATTACCTTCAGATTAAGACCAAGCATGGAAAAATTTCAGCGAAAAAAGAAGAATTTTTCAGAATGTTATGAACATGTGAAAATAAGGGATTATAATGAAAGTCTCACTGTTACTCTAATGGAGGTTACTAACAAACAAATGCTATATTCATGCATACACACACTTCTGTAATACATATACATATGGTTCTATAAATTCCATTGGCTGTCGGTGTAGATTACTTCTCATTCTTTAGCTGACAACTACAAAATAAATCCTGTATAACTTGTTGCTATCTGTATTAAGTTTGCCAGGAATCACGCTTATCTATGTGCCTTCCCCACCCCCACTCGACAGTTTCAACAAGTAGTTGCTAATTAAAATATCTTCAGTAGGGGAGCAGAATAATACTTTTGATTTTGTATTACATGCTGCTCAAACATGAGATGACAAGCAATGAAAATAAAAATATGCAGTAAATCAATTGTTCAGGCATTTACTTCTAAACTTAAATTCCCATTGAAGTCAATGAAGATGTTAAGTGGTGACTTGATCACAGTCTACAAGTACCTATATAGGGAAATGATTTCTTATAGTAGACGGGTCTTTGATCTAGCAGGAAAAGGGATAATGAGATCCCTGAATCCTACGTTTCAGTTGTAATCTAGGGTCACTTAGAGACTTTGGTCGCTGTGGCCAAACTCTGCTACAAATGGTTCTTTTGGGGTTAGAACATTTTAAAGTAATAAATCCCATTTTCACTATTTCTACAGTACTGCATAGCAAGTCTCATTATGAATACTATGCCGTCCATGGTTTTTGCTGAATTATTATAAGAGTCTAGCTGAATAATCCTAGTGCAAATCCTCATGTTTTAGATACTAATTGATGGGCTAATGATTTCATTAATTTATCACAAACTTCCCCCCACCTTAATAATCTTAGTTTTATTTCCTTTGGGGATTGTGGGAGGTTGTGAACAAAGCACATATTGCTGGTCTGCTATGGGAAAATAATATTACTATTTGTTTTAATTATTATAGTGAGAAGAACTGTACAGAGATATGGGAAGCTTTCAAAAAGGCTTTTATTAATAAAGATCCTTGCAACATTTTACCATCGGACTATGAGTTATTTATTAACTTGTCACTGCATACAATTCCACCTAACAAGGTACTGATTATGAATGGTATGTTAATGATCATCTATCATCTCTCCCCTGACTTAGCAGTCCAAAATTGACCAGATTTGATATGGTGGGCCATGCAATGATTTTCTGCCCACTTTGTGGGTTGCAGACCAAAAGGTTGAGAACCAGTGTTCTAGTCCTTGAGCCCACAGCAATGAAGTGTCAGAGCGATGTAATGTGGTTTAGAATTCGTTGATACAATACTGAACTTGCAACCAAATAATTATGATTTTAAGCTGGTCAGCACAGTACAGATAAGTGTGTGTCCAGTTGAACAGCTGAAAGTTTATAAAAGCCCTCGAAGCACTTTAATTAAACCAACCTCAAAACCCATCTTATGCATGTTTACAAGTAAATATCTTCATTCAACTCTGTCAAGTGAGCTCTCTAATTTCAATGTCACCATTGCAAAGGGTATGTTTATACTAGAAACCCTACAGTGGCACAGCTGCGCCACTGTGGTGTAGACACTACAGGGACAGGAGAGGTTCTTCCATTGCTGTAGTAAATCCACCTCTCTGAGAAGCAGTAGCTAGGTGACCGAAGAACTTTTCCACCATCTAGCGGTGTCTGCACCAGGGCTTAGGTTAACAATTACATTGCTCAAGGCATGTAGTTCAGCCAACCTAACTTTGTAGTGTAGATCAGACCTTAGTTTTGTTTTACTTGTATTTAGGGCTTGTCTATATGGCAACTTGTGCACAGCCAGTTGGGGTGTAAATCTACAGCATGCCAGCCTGCCACACACAAAGTGGTCATGTGGACCCTGCTGCCACATACTAAAAGTTCCATAGTGCTACTTTCAGTGCACGGCAGCAGGGTACACATGGTCACTTAGTGCACTGTAGTTTCACACCCTGGCTTGCTGCACACTAAGTCTCCATATAGACAAGTCCTTAGTGTCTATATGCCTAACTTTTCCTAAACCTGTCAGCTCAAGTCAGGCAAATTCTAGAGGCCTTGAGTCCTTCTATGGCTCAAGCTCTGTTCTCACAGTGGTGTAAATCCCCCCCAAAAATCCACTGTCAAGTTATGCCAGATTTACACCATTGTGAGGGCAAACTTTGTCCCTATAACTTTATTAGTTGAAGAAGTGTAGAATTGTTTTAAAAGTATTTAATTGATATTAGTTTGATTAGAACAAACCATCTGTGAGATTCTGAAGTATTGAGAAATAATTTCAAAACATGATTTAAAATGTTTTCCCAGCCACACAGCAGTGACGGTATCATGCACACACATTCTAAAGATGGTTTGTTTTGTTTTCTCTCCTTAGTCTCTGTTCTGGGAAAATAACCATCTGCTGGTCACTAGCTATTCTGATAGAACTCGTCGCTACATGCCTCTGTGTGATACTTTAATTGGTTCATTTGGAGATTTCCTGAACTGGTGTGGACAAGCAAACGATACTGGTCAGACAAGAAATGATAATAATAAAAAGTTTGTTATAAATTCATGGTGGGGCTAAAAAGATAGAGTGATTGCTTTGTACTGGAGATATGGGTCTGATTCTGCTCTCATACTTCAGGGGAGTTACTCCTGGTTATGTGGGTGAGTGTCCTGATTCTCCACTGGCTTGTACTATATAGACATTTACACTTCAGCTGCAGCTGAAGCATACACTGTGAAATTTGGAGGGAGGTGTTGCAAGGGTGGATTTATGTCACCTTTTCATTTCCCGGATCCTGGGGCTTTCTGTGCACCAGACCCGTTTCATGACATGAGTTAGAGCAGTTTCCACAGACACAGGGGTCTGTGCTTTGAGACCATAGCATGTCATTGTTTGTACAAAATGTAAGGGCTAGTGAAAAGGAGGAGAGAAATGGTGCAGTACTGTTATGGATGGATATCCTATCAGATCTCCAACCATGCAGAACCTAGAACAAAAACCACATACAATATATATTTTAAAGCCACTTTAGATTTTCTTTTCCTACCTATCATCATATCTTTAATAATGAGCACTGTGTTTCTTCCCACAGGATTTAATTATGATTCCTGCCCTAACACAGAAGAGTGTGAAAATAATGCAGTAGAATCTTTCTGGAAGATTGCATCGATCACTGTAAATCATACAATTTACATTCATTAAGCATGTCCATGAATAGTTCAGAAAGCTTTAGTAGGGCCAAAAGATTTTTTTCTGGAGTTTTTACCTCTAGCGTAGGCATACCCTTAAGGCCTTGTATTGACTAGAACTTAAAGGTGTGATGTAAGGAGGAAAAGCATAAGGTTGACTACCTTATGTGTTAAAAATGCCACCCACCCACCTCAGTGATTGGCGGAAGATGACTGGGCAGGCAGTGAAAGAGGACAGCTCCAGCAGCAAGAGAGGGAAACACTCGATGAGGGACACTGGGTAGCTCCTCTCCCCCTCCCCCCCTTATAGTCTATATGGCACCTATTGGCCAGCTGGAGGGCGGGGTGCTGATTGGCCTGCATCCCCCAGATCAGAGATTTAACTTGGAGCACAGCCCATGTGAAGCCTCTTGCACCTCTGTTCCAGGTGAGGCTGGGGAGTTTTTTCACCTTCTTCCCAGCACCTTCAATTCACAGTAAGTTAATTAAGAATGTGCTTCGTACCTAACTGAGGTACTTGCTTGAGTTGTTAATTTGTCACAATTTGTGGGCAGTTTTCAGTGCAGTTAAAAGGATAAAATGAACAGTTCCCAGAAGTAAAGGACCTGGATTTTGGTGATGGACCTTGGGCTCATGGGATAGGGTCAGACCTTGTGATCCTTGCAGGCTGGAGTTCCCACCCTTTTGCACCCTCTGTTTCCCTCATAGAGGTGTGGGAGTGGGTAGGACTTGGAGTGAGCTGAGTCCGGGACAGGTAGGCTAAGGAGAGCTGCCACCCTGAGTTATGGGTTACATGGTAAGAGCTGACTAAGGCTGATTAAGCAGATGTTCTAAGTTGTAACCCTTGCACTGGAACCACTTACATGACTGGTATATGAGAGTATGGGTTATGCAGGTAGTGCCCCTTCCACGTGTTCAAGTTAACAAAAGGTGTAGCCGGTAGTTTAAAATCCATCCATGTCCTCATTTCACCACTGTGTCCAGATCAACTATGGATTGCCTAGGATTTTAATGTGTTAGTGAATGTGTTAAAATAGACGTTTTTCTAGAGAAAACAAGGCTTAAGAGATCTTAATGCTCATGAAAGGTGCCAGATTGACAGTCTTGAAGATGGAAATACAACAATATAACACAGAGTTGCAGTGCAAAACTTCTCATACTGATCTGTCAGAGTGCCCCAACCTTGCCCAGTTCTAGGGTTGAGAAGACAGATCACCTTTTATAGCCATTAAGTTCTGGTCCTCTCTACTGCAACTGCCAGCTAGGGAACCAGTTTTGATGGTGGTTTTGCAACTTGGGCATTTTCATTTATGGCCCCCGCCACTGGCCATGACTATTTATGTATATAAAAATCTATAGGGGATGTTATGAAGAATAATCTTCTGTTATCTATTGCAGTATGCAAAGCAGAGCTCTGGGGTAATATACATTATGCTGAATGGTTCTGCAATAGGGGGCGCCTATCCAGTCAAAGGGTAAGAAAAATAAAATAATATTGTGTTAATATTTTAGGGTTTGATTGAGAAAAATCAAACATTCGGCTATTGTATCACACAAAGCTGTGGAAGTGAATAATTTTCAGAAGTCTGTGGCCTCAAGGCCAATCTTTTTTTTTTTTAACTAGACCTGGAGTAAAATTTTAGAAAGCACTTGGATGCCTCTTGTGCAGAGTCCTGTATTCTAATTTGTCAAAGGCAACAGAAGTAAAACTCGGCTGTTACACAACATTGTTTATAAAAGCAAAAACATTGAATTAGTCCAAACAAAATGGTCTACTGATTCCACCCAAGGACTGTGTTGAGATTATGACAAGTAAACAAGAGAAGAATAGAATCAGAAATTAATGGATCAAAATTGCTGTGTCAGAAAATAGGCCTAACTGGAGGACAAAATAATGACATGGAAGGGCAATTCCACCCATCACCCCCTTTTATGGTCCTTAAAAGAGTACAGGTAGACTGAAAGGAGAGAGTTCAACCATCATGGCTGCCACCCCCATTGTCTCATGAGACCCCAGGAATCCACTATTACACTATTGGGCCTGCATCATCCTGATCAGAGAGCGCTGTCCTGACCTGACCAGGCCAGAGAGAGACCCAGATTACATACTTCAGCAACTTCATCGACTTCAGCTAAATCCTGACCACCACATGGAATGTGAAACTTGGTTTCCTGCTCTCCTCTCCTCCCTCAAGTGTCATTTTTCCTTCCTCGTCTTCTCTTTCCTATTTCTCTCTTTTTGCCTTCTGTTTAAAAAGAGTCTGAGTTAGCAGGCCAAGACAACTGCATCTTTTGCAACACTGTTCTGAAGCTGTGACCATCAAGGAAGCTAAAAGCAATGCCTTAAACAGCCCTACTCTGGTACAAGTTTGCCAAGTTTCCAAGTGGCTGATAAGATCGTATGCTGCGTTTGTGTTTCTCCAGCAGTGAGATGGCTAGCAATAGTCAGCATCAAAGACAGGAGCTGCATTTTCTATCTTTACAATTTTTTTCTCCCCTTTTGTGTTTTTAAAGGTTTTTAAAGATGACTGTTGCCATGAGACTAAGCAGGCTGAGATCTCTATCCTTGGAACCCCAAATCCTGTTTAGAACTCTTGATGTTGTAAAGTAACAGTCATGTTAACAACTTTGACTCTGTGGGACCATTGATTCCCTGAAGATGGAATACCACACTTGTCAAGGTGTCAGTTCAGCAAAGCACATGCTTAACTTTAAGCACTTGTTTATTTTTCACTGAAGTGGAACTTGACAAAGCTTAAGTTCTTTGCTTAATTAGGCCTAAATGAGAAAACAAAACACAGGGAGACCCCAAAAAAATAGGTCCCAAGTGGTTGCTTGTGTTGCTATACACAAGGCCTGATTCATTTGCTCTCCAATATTAGGTAATTCACAAATCACAAGGAAAAGGAATAGAGACTTTTGATAAAGAACAGAGAGACGTTTTAACAAATTCTAAGGTCCAAGTGACAGTCTAATTATATAGGTCAGGGCACAGGAAATACAGCTCCTATTTGAATGATGATTAGAGCAGGTGACTTCCCTTGTTGGCACAAAGTAAAATCTATTTCTTTTTTAAACAATATGCTGTGATTAATTTAACAGTGGTTAAAACAGCCATTCTTGTCCAATATAATACTCTCAGTTTAACCTTTGGAACAGATTATCAAGGAAAGTAGCAAATTCATTGCTTGGAGTCTTTAATCAATATTGAATGTCTTTCTGAAAGATATGCAGGAGTTCAACCACAGGTTATTGAGTGTGATAGTGTTCACTTATGTAGTATGTAAAAATAATTCTCTCCACTGCAGGAATTACTATGTGAAATTCTGTGATCTGTATTCTACAGGACTTCAGATAAGATAAGATAATCATAGTGGTCCATTCTGGCCTAAAATTTCTTCTGTTCTAGGCCATATAGCTGGTACAGTACAGAAATCAAAATACTTCAAATAATTCCTGTAGAATCCTTGCTCTCTTCTGTCAAGACAAACTATATTTCAAAAGACAGCAAGCCAGATTTTCAAAAAAAACAATTGTAGAAGCAAATAATCACAGGTAACATTTTTTTGCAGAGTTACGCAGGCACAACAGATATCATTCAGCTGTCTTTATATCAAGCAATTAGACATCTAACTTAGATGATCTAAGTTACATCCTGCACGTAACTGCACCCATCATTATTTGCCCTGGCATAATTACATGCATGAACAAGAAAGCTGGGATGAGACTTCATTCAAAATCAGCCCCAAATCCTTAATTTATAAATTTTTGTTTTGTTTTATTTTTGTTTTTTAAGACCGATGCCTTAGAACACATTTTAATGCAATATGTTAAATGGTCCCTCCGTTAGATTTGGAGAACTCTAAACTCACACTTTGTGCTTTTATTATCCTATTTAAAGACATTTTTTCCATTAGGCCATCATCAGTTTAATTGAAATTATTTTTGGATATGCCTTCGATAGTACAACTAGTAGTCACAAAGACTTAGACACAGGAACACAGAAGACCTTTTTTCTGATACAAAAGTTCTCAGAACTTATGACAGAAAAGTCACAAAACATAAATACAGATAACTTCCTCTTCTCTTTTCCAGTAAAAATGATCCCATCTTAATGACTCAATCTGCTCTGATAAATCACTCCCTAAAACAATGGACCTTAACCTTGTAGCATTAAGGCTGATTGTATGTAAAAGGAAAAATCTGGTTTAATATTTTACTATTTACATACTCCCGGTCAGATGTAAGATCAGTTGGTGTAACTCCATTGACTTCAGTGGAATTATTCCAGCAGAGAATTTGGCCCTCCTATACCTGGACTTTTGAATATTACAGTATTTAACAAACAGCAAACCTGCCTATGGAAGATTCTTCCCAGGTCAGAATGGACAGATTTAAAAACAACAACCTCTCTTATGGTCTTACTTGTTCCCATGCTAGGTATTTTATACCCTTTTGACTTACTGCTGTGATTTTATATCTACTAATATATTTGTCTTGTAGTTGTTACTCTTCCTTCTATTTTAAAAAACAAATCCCATGCTGTGCCTGAAGAAAGACTGCTCTTGTAGGGTTTTCTGTTTGTTTGTTTTTTACTAAATACCTAGTGGTTTGTTATAAGTGCTGCATTTTAAACCCTTATTCCACTCACATCTTTATTAATAGAGTTTTATTCCTGCTCCATCCTGCTAAGACCAACAATCAATAAAACAACAAACTTAGGATCCATGCACCCATAAACTTTGGAAATACAAAATTCTGATTCCAATTTTGAGTATCTTGGTTCTGTCTCTGATAATGAGCCCAAAAGAAACCATAGGTACAAATGACCTGGACCCAGATCTCCCATTTAAATCAATGGGAAAAGAATCAGAGCCCTGGTTACTGAGAAGGAGAAAGATCTTTTCTGTTCTATGTTGTTTTAAATATTTGTTTTCTTTAACCAGTTTTTTTGCAGACTATGAAGTGCCTAACTTCCAAAAAGACAGAATTTCACGAATTGAAATCTGGGTCATGGATGACATTGGGGGACCTGACTTGTAAGTTATAGGTCTTAAAAAAAACCCTAATCTTGTTTTTTCTCTTTTGAATCTGTTTTTACAGTTTTCACTTTATTTTTCTCTATTATTATTAGATTTCAGTAACACTCAAAATGTGTTTGATGCATTCCAAACACAAAAGAAACCACAGTGCCTTCCTTGGAGGGTGTACAGTCTTTTTAAAATATAAAGTTGATGTGACCAGAATTAGGCACAATCAAAAATAATGTAAGGCCCTAAATCTGTTGAGTCAGTAGGTCTGTGTAAGAAGCTGTTATGGAGCAGGCCTTAAGTGAGGGCAAGGCAAGTACAGGTTAGACTAAATAAGAACCATCTAAATCCCAAATCAAACTCTGAGATTTGAAAAATGTCTTTTCACTGTCCCCAGTGCATTATTTTTCAGGTTTACAGCTCTCTGCAGCTCATGGTTCTGGAAATTAGTAGAAGTGGTGAAATGCCATAAGAAGGTCTCTTCTCGTGGTACTTGTGACCAATCCAACAACAAAAACTACTAGTAGTTTTGAGAGCCTGAACTTGGGAGATTTCCTGCCCGATTCTGCAATCCTGGGAGATTAAAATATTCATGAGCACTTTTAAGATGCTTATTTGGACCAAAACTCTTGATAAGCCATTACTATTTTATTCAGTTAATTGAAGTAAATTTTTACCCAGCCACAGGAGCTAAGGTGGTTGGGGAAGCACTCCATTTTGGAGTTTAAGTCAGAATGCTCATGTCCAACAGCAGGGGTTCTAAGTGATTGAGGAAGGACTCAAGTACAGCCTGTGGAGTCCAAAGGGGCTGAGGCTAAAGTTCCAGTTGTTGCAAAGTAAATATAAAACACTACCACTGATACGAGTGTATGGTGAATTCTGATTTGGTAGCATTTTACATCAACTTTGCACACGTGTAAATGAGTGTACAACATACAATGTAGTGGAGAATGAGGCCCTCTATATTTGTATTAGTCCAACAGGCAGCTGCCCTCTGGTGGTAGACTTGTTTTTCTAGGGCATTGCTGTTTGGTTACAAGATACCAGAGTCTGGCCAGCTTGCTGAAATTCTCCTATAACCTACTACTAAGTTCCCTAAAAAAAAAAAAATCTGCTCCATTTGTAGAACATTAAGGTTCTGCAATTAAAGCCCTAGCTGCCATAGCAATTGACACTATGGAAATTAGCAAAATAAACAGTTAACTAATAAAAGACTTTGTACAAATCTCTTTTTACAGGGATTCCTGTGGGAGAGGCAGTGTACAAATATTAGAAGAAAGACTCAAAACTATGGGTTATGACATCACCTGCATTGACAATTACAAGTAAGTGGAATTTCTTTAATAAATATGAGGTATTTGCTAGGGTTTTTCAGAAATTTTAACCTACTTCTACCCATGAATATTCCCATACCGGGGACCCACTAATCTACTATGCTGTAGCTTTAGTAAGAAATTGACGTCTGGAAGTGATAATGCCACCTTCCTCAGCCATCTGAGCACACCTCCATTGATATGGCAATCGTACAATTTGTAATTTTATTATTAAATGCAACAGTGTCCTCATTCGATATCAGATACAGAAGATGGCATGGTCCCTTCCACTTAGAGCTATCAGTTCAAATATGAAATTAAAATCTGAATAACAATTATACATTAATATTCCCTTCTCATGTCTGCAGAATTACTTATGGTAGCTGTACTTACTGTGATACTCAGAGCTTCATTCTAAATTAAATACCATTAAGAAAGGAAGGTTTAGGCATCCAAATTGTGCATCTTTTCATTTTATAACATCATTCAATTTGTTTCACTTCCTCTTTTGTTTTGCTTAGTTTTCTTACTGAGTAATGCTAAATAAAATAATTTCATTACAGATCTGTACTGCTGTTAAAGTGCCTGGATTACCTTAATCACTCTGATTGTTCTATTGTTTCGTAAGTAAACATGGTAAATAAAATCAATCCAATTCTACGCCATTAGAGCCAAACGAATAATTCACAGCTAATAATTTATTCAACAGATTTCACCTGTCCTACTGATTGCAATTTGTCCATGACAGCTGTATTGAAATATATTATTTTGAAATTATTCAGGAAATAATTCCTGCTCTATAAATTGTGCACAAGCACTTCGTTGCAAGTATCTGATATTCATAATTAAAGCAGTGTTGATTAGTTTTGATTGAACACACAGACCACATGGTATATTGCTATCCACTGATTGCGTGAGCATAACTCTTAGAATCAAGTATCTCTTGCAAATACTCATAGTTAGAAATGCAAAATTTGCTTTCCATGAACATTCTCCAATAAAATTGAGATAATAAATCAAATATAAGACTGCAAATCTAAATAACAGCACCTGTCCAATTATGTACAATGTAACTTTCAATTCCCAATTTCAAGGAGGTACAGTATTCATATCCAAACATTCAGAGATCTTATATTTCACCAATACACTTTTATGAGAAACATATGGAAACTTAAACACAAGTAGACACACTCATCTTTGCTGTAAATCCAGCAGTACATCATGGATAAATTTAACCCAAGGGATGGGCAGAAGAATTCTTTGTGTTAACTGCAAAAATGTTTCCCAACACAGAAACACCTGAGGTTGAAAGGAAAAATACAAATATCTAGTGCTGAATTTGAGCTCAGGTGGTTAAGAAAGCCATATCTCCTAAGTGACCTATATTTTGTAGTAATAATCCATTGGCCTAGGACAAGTATATAATATACAGAAATTGGGTTTGTGCATCAAGCACAGAGTACATAGGGACTGTCTGTGACGTTGTGCAGTCTATATGGTTTCATAAAAACATGATAATAAGTGAATATAATGTAACTGGGATAGTTTTATAAAAATCTGATAAGTGACTATAATGCAAATGGGATATGCTTCGTGCAAAAGGTCTCTTGTAAGGTATCATTACAAAGCTTATAATCTACCGAGTATGATCATCTGATTTGTATAAATGTACCACTCTTGTATCTAAAACTAGAAATATAAAACATAACTCTGAGGGCCTATTGTAATTATGTAAAGTGTGGGCCATTAATGATGGTTTGGAATCTTGATGTCTCCCATTAACAAGGACCATTGTCTGCAGATGACTGTGTTTACCTGTGAGTCTTCCTGTATATGTATGTGCTGGCAAGTGAGTAATGAAGTCTTGCAGTGACATGTGATCATGTCACCTGAACTGGAATCCATCTTTAACCTGGTGCTTTTCCAGTGAGGGGGGGGGTGAAAACCCAGAGGGACAAAGAGTTCCCGCCTTATGCAAAAGATATATAAAGGGGTGGAAGAGAACAGAGAGAGGGAGGAGCCATCATGGAGAAACCCCTAGCTAACACCTAAGCTGGAACAAAAGCTGTACCAGGGGAAAGAATTGTGCCCAGGCCTGGAAGGTGTCCAGTCTGAGAAAAACTTACTGAAGCATCTCTGAGGGTGAGATTATCTGTATTTAGTTTGATTAGGCATAGATTTGCGCATTTTATTTTATTTTGCTTGTGACTTACTTTGTTCTGTCTGTTACTACTTTGAACCACTTAAATCCTACTGTCTGTATTTAATAAAATCACTTTTTATTTAGTAATTTACTCAGAGTATGTATTAATACCTGGGGGAGCAAACAGCTGTGCATATCTCTCTATCAGTGTTATAGAGGGCGAACAATTTATGAGTTTGCCCTGCATAAGCTTTATGCAGGGTAAAACGGATTTATCTGGGTTTAGACCCCATTGGGAGTTGGGCATCTGAGTGCTAAAGACAAGCACACTCCTGTGAGCTGTTTTTGGGTAAACTTGCAGCTTTGGGACAAGTAATTCAGACCCTGGGTCTGTGTTGAAGTGGACTGGAGTGTCTAATTCAGCAAGACGGGGTGCTGGAGTCCTGAGCTGGCAGGGAAAACAGAAGCAGGGGTAGTTTTGGCACATCGGGTGGCAGCTCCCAAGGGGGTTTCTGTGATCCAACCCGTCACACTGTCTAGTGTTCAACATCACATGGCTCTCCCACTGGCAGGCAGCAGAGGAATGCTATTGCTGCTGGGTTGGGCACACTCTACCCTCTCCTGCACTGCATAGGTATTCCAAGAGCACTTTCACTCAGCACAGGGAAGAGAAGGATACACATGAGATTGCAGGGATAGTGCTTCCACATCCTTCCACAGGCCTTTGATATAAGATTCATCTTTAAAACTCCTGTATCTTACAGAAATTGGTAGTGGTGTTCTGCCCCAGCAGTGTTCTCTGTTGGATAGCTTTTCCCTATCTTGGCATGTGACAGCCGCAAGAGTGTTTCCTTTGGTTCCATCACCCAAAATTATGCCCTGGCAACAACCACAGAACATGTGAAAACAGCATTTGAGAGACAGCAAATGCTCACATCATTATGAGCAGATTGTGTTGAGGGAGCAGATCATGAAACCAACCTGTTCCAAGCTTACAGCGACATTTATTTATTGCTGTATACCATGTACAGGGTTGTAATGGCGTATGAGCTGATGTGATTTAAAAGAAATGGACTTCTTATTCTCGGAGTGATTGCCAAGGTTTTTGCTCCTAAGTGGAAAATAAATAGTGATTGCCAGTCTCTACCCAACTTGTGAAACCCACAGCCCCAAAAAGCCAGTAATTTTCTGAACAAACTGACAATATTAGCTAGCTGGAGAAATCTGAGCTTAACAGGACTTTTCTTTTGGATGCTCTGAGTTCTTAATGGATGATTTAAGAATATAAGAATGGCTAGACTGGGTCAGACCAGTGGTCCATCTAGCCTAGTATCCTGTCTTTTGACAGTGGCCAATGCCAGGTGCTTCAGAGGGAATGAACAGAACAAGTTCAAGTGATCCATCCCATTGCCCATTCCCAGCTTCTGGCAAACAGATTCTAGGGACACTTCTGAGCATGGTTTTGCATCCCTGCCTATCCTGACTAATAGCCATTGATGGACTTATCCCCCATGAACTTATCTAGTTCTTTTTTGAACCCTGTTATAGTCTTGGCCTTCACAACATCTGGCAAGGGGTTCCACAGGTTGACTGTGCATTTTGTAAAAAAATTCTTCCTTTTGTTTGTTTTAAATCTGCTGCCTATTAATTTCATTTGGTGACCCCTAGTTCTTGTGTTAAGAGAAGGAGTAAATAACACTTCCTTATTTAATTTCTCCACAGCAGTCATGATTTTAAAGACCTCTATCATATCCCCTCTTAGCCATCTCTTTTCTAAGCTGAAAAATCCCAGTCTTATTAATTTCTCCTCATATAGAAGCTGTTCCATATCCCTAATAATTTATGTTGCCCTTTTCTGTACCTTTTCCAATTCTAATATATCTTTTTTGAGATGGGGAGACCACATCTGCACGCAGTAGTCAAGATGTGGGTGTACCATGGATTTATATAGAGGCAATATGATATTTTCTGTCTTGTTATCTATCCCTTTCCTAATGATTCCCAACATTCTGTTCGCTTTTTTACTGCCGTTGCATGTTGAGTGGATGTTTTTAAAGAACTATTCACAATGACTCCAAGATCTCTTTCTTGAGTGGTAACAGCTAATTTAGACCCCATCATTTATATGTATAGTTGGGATTATGTTTTCCAATGTGCATTACTTTGCATTTATCAATATTGAATTTCATCTGTCATTTTGTTGCCCAGTCACTCAGTTTTGTGAGATCCCTTTGTAATTCTTTCCAGTCTGCTTTGGACTTAACTATCTTGAGTAGTTTTGTATCATCTGCAGATTTTGCCATCTCACTGTTTACGCCTTTTTACAGATCATTTATGGATATTTTATATTTTGAACAGTATGGGTCCCAGTACAGACCCATGGGATACACCACCTCTCTCCATTCTGAAAACTGACCATTTATACCTATCCTTTGTTTCCTATCTTTTAATCAGTTACTGATCCATGAGAGGACCTTCCCTCTTAACCCATGACTGCTTCCTTTGCTTAAGAGCCTTTGGTGAGGTGAGCCTTTGGTGAACCTTGTCAAAGGCTTTCTGAAAGTCTTAAGTACACTATATCCCCTGGATCACCCTTGTCCACATGCTTGTTGACCCCCACAAAGAATTCTAGTAGATTGGTGAGGCATGATTTCTCTTTACAAAAACCACGTTCACTCTTCCCCAACATATCAAGTTCATCTATGTGTCTAAAAACTCTGTTTTTTACTGCAATTTCAACCAATTTGCCTGGTACTGAAGTTAGGCTTACTGGCCTGTAATTGCCGGGATTGCCTCTGGAGCCTTTTTTTAAAACTGACATCACATTAGCTATCCTCCAGTCATTTCTCTCTTCTCCACGGGTTTAGACCATATTACTCAAAGTCTTGTGTTGTGGGCACATTCCTTGACTGAGGAAATCTGGATAGGAAATCTTTTGGAAACAGTTAATGTCTTGTTCTTTTCACCTAAGGGCTGAGCATACCATCTCTTCAGTACTGCCCATCATTGCAAGCATGGGACCAGCCACCTGTTCCCGTCTATCTGTCTACTTAAATGATCACAATCACCACAGTATCTGAGCATGTCTGTAATAACAGAGCACCTTCCTTGTGCTGGCCCTGATTCTGCATGTTGCTGAATGCCTCAACTCCCACTAACCTGCCTTGCAAGAATGGGTCTTACTTCCCCTCCTCCTTCTTTTATATTCAGCTGTGTGTGATCATACGGAAATCCTGACGCATGTTCAACTGCTGTTCACATGGAACCTTCTCCACTTTGGCCTTCAAAGTTCTCATTTGAATATTTGCTACTACTACTGAGTTCCCCACCTGTGGCAGCTCCACCACGGCCTGCGCCCTTGGCTTCAAGGCCCACCACAATGGCCTTCCTCCGCATCATTGCATAGGCCCCACAGCTCTCACCACTAGGAACAAGGGCATCCCATAGGACACGCTGAGTAGTGATGGCTGCCCAGTCGCTGCTCCACTTGAGATATGAGTAGGCTAAAATGAGAAATCAAAGCAAAAAGATACTCCCATGTAGCAGTAACTTAAAAATCTGCAACAAATAACCTCCTCAGTGATCTTAGCTTCTTCTCTCCCCTGCAGAAGATCCACCAAGCGGATTGTGATTTGTTTGAATGCCTAAGCTATTTGAAACAACAAGAAGTCCGGTGGCACCTTAAAGACTAACAGATTTATTTGGGCATAAGCTTTCGTGAGTAAAAAAACTTGACTTCTTCAGATGTTTTTTTACCCACAAAAGCTTATGCCCAAATAAATCTGTTAGTCTTCAAGGTGCCACCGGACTCCTTGTTGTTTTTGTGGATACAGACTAAAAATGGCTCCCCCTGATACTTAAGCTATTTGAATTTTTTCTGAGTACCTTTCCAGAATTTAACTCCATGAATAGATCCCAATTATTAAATATGCTGATAAAGCTATTTGTCAATAAATTAAATTTACAGAAATTGTTGTTTCATTATTAAAGACACATTCCAGGCAAGAGCACAATTAACATGTTTACACTTAAAGAATAAACATTGAAACTAGATATTCAGGTCTTTATTACAAGCTCTACTGCAGCCTTTTTACAGTGGCTCAGTGCCATAAAGCAGCTGAAGAGCTGGCTTAAGTGGTGCCTAGGCAACAACCTCAGCACATAGGTCAGGTAAAGTGATTTAGGTGGCTTTATTCTGCACTTAAAACCCCTGTCACATAGGCATTCTGAGGGAAGTGGCCATTTCAGAGCAGGAATGGCAGTGACCAGAGGCTGCTGTGTGGCACCACTCTAACTTACACTGGGGGCCATGCTCAACCTCAGAATCCTGGAAGTCCAAAGGTGGATAAATGCCCTTTTACCCCCTCTCCACACTTCAGCTGTGCCTCTTGTGAGGACTCTCAGGCTGTAATCATTATCTGTGACACATTAGCATTGAAATTGACCAGTAGGTAGCGTACAAACATCAGCAGAAAGCACTCCAAATGCAGTCTGGTACTAAGGACATATAGTTAATGCAGGATTCTGCGCACAGATGTCCTGTTTATAAAACCATGACAGCTGAGCAGCATTGAGAGTCATTTCAAGAGTCATTGTACAAAGATTTCTGGAACTGAATTTTCAACTTAATTTTTGGACTTCAGCCCTGGCTACAAAGCTCTGGTATTTAAAAGGATATGTACTTAGCATCCTGTTTTTCTTTTCTTTTCTTCAGGTCTGCACCTTCAACACAAAGAGGACTTGTATCTCCTGCCAGAGGCGGCAGCTGGAGCAGGCTCATTTACATGATTTTTGTAGCATTTGTTTTTGAGATCTGCTTTAACCCACTGAATTAATGTACATAATTCAATCCTTCTATTTGCCTCCATTGTCTGTAAATTTGGCATTATCCTGTCTCTGAATGTAATTCTTCCCTTAATTCCTGTGATTGCAAGTCTGCCTATTAGAACCTATGTAACATTGCCTTTGACTCCTCTGCTGCTGGAAGCCTCATCCATGCCTTCATCTCTCCTTATCTGGGTAACTCCCTCCTTGTCTGTGACCTCACCCTATTCCAGTTCTCCAGAATCCCATGATGAATGGTACTGCCCCTTTATTCACCTGTCAGGAACCAGGGCCACACCACCCCTATTCACAAATAGCTTCATTGTCTCCCCACCCATTTTTGGATCCATTTTAAAACTGCCTTCTTGTTTTTGAAAGGCTTCCTTCTGCCTTAGGACCTTGGGCTTCATTCTCCCCTGCCATGCACCTTATATCATCTGCACCTCTGAGAAGTGAGTGCAGACTGGATGTAAAATGCTATCCCTTGTGTGAATGGGTGTTTTGGGTAGCATCTTAAACTCACTTTGTATTAGTGTAAATAACAAAACAAGGAGTAACACAATGGACAATTTGGCCCATTGTTTTCACATGCACTATATCCATCACTATCACAGTTCCTCAGCTGGTTGCTTCCTGCTGTTTGGATTACCAACAACCAGCTGACTTCCCAAGGCCTGTCACATCAGCAGAGCTTATCTTGAACACTTGGGAAGTGAGGCATCAAGTATCTATGATCAGGGAAATTCACTCAGGATCCTTTGAAATCTATTCAGGGTGAGGAGTAGAACTGGCCGGCAATTTTTTGAGAAAATATTTTTTCATTAGAAAATACTGATTAATCAAAACCGAAACTTTTTGCAAGAAAAGGTCAGTTTTGGCAAATTTCTCTACGTGAAAACATTTTGGAAAAAATTGAAGTTGTTGAAATGTTTTGTTTAGACATTTTTAAATGAAAAATTCCATTTTTCCAGTTCAAAACAACCTTGTTTTGAAATGCAAGATTATAGGGGGAAAACGTAAATTAAAAATGGTCAAAATTTAAATGCGATATTTCGATTGACCCAAACCTTTTCCTCTCTCTCTCTCTCATCTTCTGTTTATTAACATTTTCAAGATTTTGAGGTTTTTGTCCTGATTTGAGACAGGAAATTTTCTTGAAATCTCAATTGTATTTTTGCAGGACTGGAAAACTGTTTTCAATCCAGCTGCAGTGAGGAGACACCAAGCACAGTCTTGACTGTCTGCTGAGCCAGCTCCAGCTACAATCTGAAGGTCCAGGGTGTCTGTCTATCCCCAACCACTGAAACCTACAGATCACGCGGCACGCGGGCTGATTTTTTGTGGCACACTGCTGCCAGCCGGCTTCCCGGCCGCCAGCCCCGCTCAGCCCGCTGCCGGCCTGGAATACGGAACCCCAGACCAGCAGCGGGATGAGCCTGCTGACAGTCTGGGGTTCCGTCTGCCACCCGCGCTGCCGGTCTGGCAGGCGAAACCTTTTACTGGCACACGTAACCTTAAATTAATGAAGACTTGGCACACCACTTCTCAAAGGTTGCCGACCCCTGCTCCAGACTGTGGCTGTACCATGTGGGATATATCTAAGAAAATTAAAATACTTGCGTTTTCCTAAGAGAATTTTACACACTTTTTTTTTTTTTTGCATATTCACTGCTAATTTCTATGTATGCTTGTTAGCAATGAAGCTGAGTGTGAGCTATTGGAATGTTCATGTTCTCATTTAGCTTAGCAAGAAGTTTCCTTCCTCCCACGCTGATATTATTTAACTCTCCTACTCTGTCACGTGGTGAGCATGGAAGATACAATAGCAAGCAAAGTTATATTGTAATTTATTTTTCTGGTCTTGATTCTTGTAGTAATCAAGTCAATTCCATCTCAGGGGCCTTGGTGTTCACACACTTCAAATATTTATAGCCTTACCAGCCTGCATGTTTCAAATACCCTGCTTGGGCTCATGCATTAAGGTTTTGTGCACATAATTCAGACACTTGCAAAAGCGTAGACAGCAAAAGGTATGTATATGTTTGAAAATTTGGGCTGTCATGTGTACCTTAGCTAGCCCTTTGAAATGTTCCTTCTGCACCCAGCTCATTTTTGTTGCTTTTCTCTAAACTCTCTCTCCCTAACAATAGCCAGTAGAGTCACAGGGGTATTAACCTTCTGTAACCTTGACACATCTCAGATGACCAGAGCAAGGACATGAAGGTCAGTCTTTTACTAGCACACTTGCATGTTGTACCATATTACATTGGGAGCTGTGAGGAACAGACATTGTTGTCTCTTCCTCCTCTAATGACAGTCACATATCCAAACTATCCTTTAGGTCAGAAATTGTCATGCCCCACTGCTGTGTGTGTTCTACCATGGAACTGATCAAGAGATTAGTTAAACACCACCACTATCAGGCCCAGGACTCTTAAGCAACCTACATTACCTAAGCATTCTAACTAGCCACCTTTTGGCTTTAAGAATCTGAATAGGCAGCAGGTTTAAAACAAACAGAAGGAAGTACTTCTTCACACAACACGCAGTCAACCTATGGAACTCATTGTGAAGGCCAAAACTATAATAGGGTTCAAAACAGAATTAGATAAGTTCATGGAGGACAGGTCCATTAGTAGCTATTAGCCAAGATGGTCAGGGATGCAACCCTATACTCTAAGTGTTCCTAGCCTCTGATTGCCAGAAGCTGGGAGTGGATGATGGATCACTTGATGATTGCCTGTTCTGTTCATTCCCACTGAAGCACCTGGCATTGGCCACTGTCAGAAGACAGGATACTGGGCTAGATGGACCATTGGTCTGACCCAGTATGGCCGTTCTTATTTTTCACTTGTACATTTTACCTAGAAGTGCAGCAAGTGCTGCCAGTCCCACATGACATCAGATGCATTGTAGGAAGTGCTGAGAAGTTCTATATGAATAATGTGCGTTCAAGTGTAAAAATGTAGATTTAGTTCAACTAATCTAAGGAATATTGAAAACTTACTGCATAGCATCAAGAAGACTCCAGTATACTGAGAATCACGTTGCATCAGATTACTATTTCCAACAAGTTCCCCACATGTTTTCTCAAATAAGAAGTAGAGATAGATGTGATTTATTACAAGACTTCTTAGACAAGGGTAAAGCACTTGATAAATTTGTTGAAAAAAGCTCCCCAGAAGCCTAATTCTGAGAGGAGTACCCACTACACCAATACCATGTGGACCGTGCAAAATCTCTGGGAGTGGTGTGGATTCAGCATTTTTTAGGATTAGAATCCAGTAGCACAAATCACAACCCATATAGCAAATTCACAAACAGTGGAAAACTGAACTCAAGAGGAAGACAATGCCAGCAGACCAGCAATGCAAGTAAAAGACATTTGGGTACTGCAGTTTCTCCAGGGAATCACTAATTGTTGTTCTCTGTAATTTCAAATTAAACCATCACTTAAGTCACTGGCAATTATGGTACTCAAGCTTCATAAGAAACTCTTTACCAGGACCACATTTATATTTATATCTAGGAACCACAATGACCCATGGTCTGCTACCCTACTAGCAAAAGACAGTGTATGCAGATGTACAATAAAGACACTTGTGATAAAAAAAGAAAACATGAAAAGCGAGAATTTTAAGCTGTGACCAGAAGCAAGGCCTACTTTAAAAGCAACTCCCTTAGAGGAGCCAGTGTGTCTGGAAGCAATAAGCAGAGGGTTGGAGTGAGGCAGTCCTGAATTATAATCTTGATTTGGCCAGTGATGTGTTGCTGTGTGGCCTTGGGCAAGTCATCTCTTTCTGCCTCAAGTTTCCCAGTCTAAAAAGTGGGGATAATAATGCTTAAATACCTATCTCCCAAGAAGGTGGAGAGAATCCATTCGTTAATGTTACTGTGTTTTAAGTGTTTAGAGCACTATATAAATACTAACTGTCACAGTTTCAGCTAACTGCACCTGTATTCTCTCCTCTGTGGTCCACTCCAGGACTTCCCAGTCAGGTCTCAGGTCTCCAGGCATCACCTGTTTCTGGGCAGGGACCCTTGCCCCACCCCCTTCTGACCGAGGGTTTTAAGGCTGAACAGCTCCCTGCTTTACACTGTGATACCCCCAGCAAGCAGTCTACCTAAAGGTCAGCACCTGTGCTTTCCTCTCTCTCTCTTTCTGAGGGCTATCAAGCAGTTACAAGTTATCACACAACTCTTTCTAAGCAAGCACCTTTATTCTTAAAGGTAAAAGCATTACAGAGGAAACATATTAAAACAATAAACAGATTTAAATACACACTGAACATACCAGGGTCACCCATCAGTCTTATGGGGCCCTAGTAGGCCAAAGTCTTCCCAAGCTTCAGCAACCATTGGGGCTGCCCATGGACAGGATGTCCTTTCCGTTTGCTGGATCAGAAAGAAAGTCCTTAGTCAGTTTAAATGCAGCCTTTTTATATCAAAAGCCCTTACTTTGTCTATTGGTCTCCAGAAAATCCAGTTTGAATTGGTATATGCATACCTTCCCAGCGCGAAGTACCTCTCTGGAGGTCTTTACTATCTGAGTGATTAAGAACATAAGAATGGCTACTGTCTTTCGACAGTGGATACTGGGCTAGATGGACCATCGGTCTGACCCAGTATGGCCATTCTTATGTTCTTAATCACTCAGGTAGTAAACAACTCCAGAAAGATGCCACTCCCGGGAGGTGTGCATATACTGGTTCAAACTGGGTTTTCCAGATTCACGTTAATCACCCACCACCACCACCACCACCACCACCACCATCATTGTTTTTAGTTCCTGGAGGAGCTGCAGTAACCCTCCCCATTCTGTTGGAGTTGCATAAAGTCCCAGGCCAACAGTGATATTTAAACCATTCATAAGCATACAATATGGTCCCCAAAGACACTGCATGGGATTTCAATATCAGTCAGACACACCACATGCATTCCCCAGAAACCAGATGGGAGGTGGAAGTGAGAGGACCAGGTCTCAAGTTCATACCCAAAGGTTTTGAGGTGACACGAGTAAGAGGGGCCATGTAAGAGCTCATCCTACAGATCTGCCCCATAAGTTCTAAAGAGAAAATATACGGGATGGTTGTCAAACAACTCTGTACAAGGACAGTTGGTCAACCTCCCTGCACTTTATATGCAGCTAAAGTTTATTTTTGTCACGTTGGCTTTGGAGTGATGTACAGACAGTGAAGTGACATGTGAGTGTGTCAACCTCGAATGCACTGAAACTTGCAGCTGAACTGAGCAAGAAGGGACAGGATGGACCCTGTTAGAATAAAAGGCATTTTTTTATTGAGGTGGCTTGCCAAAAATAATTCAGATTTGTTCTGCTTTAGTCATAGATGGTGTAAGCTGAGATAAGGGTGCTGCATCTTAGTTTAGGCAGATTTCAGGGTGGTTCTAGCAGTTTACAAGTTTTTCTGGTTTACAGGTGTTTCCTAATTCCAGTTTTTGTGCAGCCCCAGTTTATGAGAGAAACTCCCATTCCTAAACCTGGCCTTTCTTCTAAGAGCAGGACTAATTTGATCGGTCAGATTCTGTCCTCAATTACACTCATGCAATCCCCACTGAAATCAGTTGTAAAGGAAAGCCTATATGGCTTTCCTTTACAAAGCTTCTCTTCTCACATCAGCTCTACACTGATGTAATACCATTCACTTCAATCCAGTTCCTCAACATTTACACCAGCATAGTGAAAGTTGGAATTTTACAGAAAGGAAAACAGACAGTAGGTTTTATTTAATAATATATACTGCATTTAAATACAGAAAAAGTACAGGAGTACTTGTGGCACCTTAGAGACTAACAAATGTATTTGAGCATAAGCTTTCGTGGGCTTCAGCCCGCTTCATCAGATGCATGCAGTGGAAAATACAGTAGGAAGATATATATATACACACACACAGAGAACATGAAACAATGAGTGTTACCATACACACTATAAGGAGAGTGATCAGTTAAGGTGAGCTATTATCAGCAGGAGAGAAAAAGAACTGTTTGTGATGGTAATGAAAATGGCCCATTTCCAGCAATTGACAAGAAGATGTGAGGAACTGTAGGGGGGGGAGGAAAGCATGGGGAAATAGTTTTACTTTGTGTAATGGCCCATCCACTCCCAGTCTTTATACAGACACTCCCCAACTTACGCAAGCGTTCCATTCCAGAACACCTTGCGCAAGTTGAATTTTGCATAAGTCGGGAACGTATACCCGATAATTATGCAAAAAAAAAAAAAAAAAGCTTTCGGAACTTTTTCCGTAAGTCCTGATTTGCGTAAGTGAGGTTTGTGTAACCCGGGGAGTGTCTGTAACAG